GTGCCACGCGCGCCAGGCACCCCTGGGGCCCGAACGTGCCAGGCACGCTTGGTGCGCCAGATGCGCCACGTGCTCCGCGTGCGCCAGGTGTTCCGCATACTCCAGTCGCGCCAGGTGCGCCGGGAACATGTCCCCCCCACCATCTTTGTCGAAAAGCAATGCTCATCTTTCTGTTTGCTGGGCCTGCGCACGTCAGGCCATACGCAAGCACCCCAAACCGATAGCAAGGACGGGTCACCTTCCCAAGGGTATCCTGGCATCCTTGCCTCCTGAGCCCATCTCTGACCACTTCTGTTGGCCGCGCCCCGCTCGAAAGGCGTCGGCATGTCCCTCAAAGGTCCTTCGCTTCTGCCCCGAATCTGGGCTTGGTTGGGCCAGGGCATCGGGGGCTGTCGGCGAGGCGGGGGGGAGCCGTTAGCGCCCCCGGCGCCTCCCTCTGGAGAGTGCGCGCGGCGACCTCGGCCGCCTCCCGCGGATCCGGCGCGCTGGCAGGCGATCGCACTGGCGCGCTGGCAAGCGAGCATCCCTACTGTCAGCTTTGGCTGTGCGCCCCGAGGTGCGTTGTGGCACTTCGGCTGCAGCCCCACGTTTCGGGGGGTTGCCCGACGTGCCCCTGGCCCGAGGTGCCCCCAGCTTGTCGCTCAAGTGTGGCGCCCCTGGGCCCTCTGGGCCTCGTGAGGGTCAGGAGGGGGAAAAAACACACGGACACAAGTCGTCGTCGATTCCCAGGAAACTGTTGGGAAACATGGACAGTGCGGGGGGGGGAAGACGCAAAGCCAGAGAATATGCACACAAAAATGGGGAGTCTGGGGTGTTGTGTCTATTTACTTGTGTCCCTGGGCCCCTTCTTCAGAGGGGTGCTCTGGAGGCCGTGGGGGCCTATCTGAAAGTCCTCGGAGGCGCATTGTCCCTCTAGAGGAGGGAAAAGCAGAAATAGTCAACAAAAAATCAGGGGACGATTTTTTCCAGTAACTGTGCATATGTTTGAACTATTGTTTGTTTTTAGTCTAGAATCCGCCGTAGGAGGACATACCCGACCTATGCCTTGGGCCAGGGGCACTTCTGGCAACCCCCGGACTTTGGGATGCCACCGCGCTCCGCCGGCGCTGCGGGTGGCGGCCCGCCCCTGGGAGGTCCGGGCGGTCCCTGGCCCTCCCCGCGGTGGGCCAGCCTCTCGCCTCGGGTCCAATTCTCATGGCCCCGGGGTAGCAACACGCACACACACACCATACCACCACCACCACCACCACCACCACCACCACCACCACCACCACCACCACCACCACCACCACCTCCACCACCACCACCACCACCACCACCAACACCTTCGACACAACAACAACAACAACAACAACAACAACCACAACAACAACCACAACAACAGCAGCAACAACAACATTAACAACAACAGCAGCAACAGCAGCAACAGCAACAGCAACAACAACAATGATTTTGAGACTGTTCGCCCTTATATGCTCGAGTGTCCAATAACGCGTATTTCCCAAACTCTCGATACCCGCCCTCTCAGTCTTCGGTCGGACCCCTTTTGGGGGGTATACTTTTCTTCCCTGCAGGCCGGGCCCCGGCAAGCGGCGAGGCGGCCGCGGACCGTCGGCCTGGCCAGCGGCAGCGCTGATCGGCGGGGCGGCCGCGGACCGTCGACCCGACCCCCAGAGGGACGAACAGGGGACCGACCACGACGAGGACGACGACGAAGACGACGACGACGACGACGACGACGACGACGACGACGACGGCGACGACGACGACGACGAGCGAAAGCGAGAGCGAGAGAGAACGACAGCAGGGACACGAAGGACACGAAGTAGGCCACGAAGGGCGACAGCGGGGACACGAAGAGAATGCGTATGGGGCCACGAAGAGCGCGAACGAGCGGGGGTTACGAAGTGCAGATAATTCGGGGCCACAGGAGGCAACGATGGGGCCACTGAAGGTAGCAACTGGGCCACGTAGGACAGTGATGGGGGCCACACACGTCGACAGCGGGGCCACGAAGGGCATGCACATGGGGCCAAAACCGGCGCGAACGAGCGGGGGCCACGAAGTGCATACGTATATTGGGCCGTGGAGGGCAAGAACGGGGCCACTGAGGGCAGCACCGGGGGCACGAAGGGCAGCGAGGGGGCCATGAAGGGCGACATCGGGGCCACGAAGGGCATGCATATGGGGCAACCACGGGCGCGAACGAGCGGGGGCCACGAAGGGCATACATATATGGGGCCACGAAGGGCATGCACATGAGGCCACGAAGGGCTGCAACGGGGCCACGAAGGGCAGCGAGGGGGCCACGAAGGGCTGCAACGGGGCCACGAAGGGTTGCAACGGGGCCACGAAGGGCAGCGAGGGGGCCACGAAGGGTTGCAACGGGGCCGCGAAACAAAGCGAGGGGGCCACGAAGGGTTGCAACGGGGCCGCGAAACGAAGCGAGGGGGCCACGAATGGCTGCAACGGGGCCACGAAGGGCAGCGAGGGGGCCACGAATGGCTGCAACGGGGCCACGAAACAAAGCAAGGGGGCCACGAAGGGCTGCAACGGGGCCACGAAGGGCAGCGAGATCCCGATTCTTAGGTAATCTGTGAGGGAATCCTAAGCGTGATCGCGACTCCTGGGTGCCTGGGTGTCGGGAGCGCGGCGCTTGAGTAAACTGCAAGAAAGTCCAACGCAAGGGCGCTATTCTATAGTAAATTACAAGCAAGTCTCCAGCGAGAGCGCGAGTCCATAGTGCCGGGAGAGCGATTCCTGAATAAATTGTAAGGAAGTCCCAAGCAGCAGCGCGATTCCTGAATCAAATGCGAGGAAGTCTCGGGCGGGAGCGGGGGTCCTGGCTAAATTATGAGGAAGGCTTAGGCGGGAGCCGCTGTTGAATTCTCATTTCTGAAGAATCATTATTGTTGATCCCCCCCCACCGGTGCATATTGTTTTTTCTCAATCAAAGTGTGCCCCTCGACGCTCGCACCCTGTTTTTTTGACAGGTAAAGGTTTCCTGCTCAAACTGGGCCCTTGGCCCCCGGGTTACAACAACAACGGCTCCCGCCTGAGACTTCTTCCCAATTTAGCCAGGACCCCCGCTCCCGTCCAAGACTTCTCGCATTTGATTCAGGAATCGCGCTCTCGCTTGGGACTTCTTTACAATTTATTCAGGAATCGGTCTCCCGGCGCTATGAAGTCGCGCTCTCGCCGGAGAGTTGCTTGCGACTTACTGAAGAATGGCCTTGCGTTGTTTTTTTCTGCAATTTGCCGAAGCGCCGCGCTCCCGACTCCCAGGCACCCAGGAGTCGCGCCCGTTGTGGCCCCATGTGCATGCCCTTCGTGGCCACGCTGTCGCCATTTGTGTCCCCCGCACTGTCCTACGTGACCCAGTTGCTACCCTCAGTGGCCCCATAGTTGCCTTCTGTGGCCCCGCATTATCTGCACTTCGTGGCCCCCGCTCGTTCGCGTTCGTCGTGGCCCCATACGCATTCCCTTCGTGTCCCCGCTGTCGCCTTTCGTGGCCTACTTCGTGCCCTTCGTGGCCCTGCTGTCGTTCTCTCTCGCTCTCGGTTTCGCTCGTCGTCGTCGTCGTCGTCGTCGTCTTCGTCGTCGTCCTCGTCGTGGTCGGTCCCCTGTCCGTCCTTCTTGCGGTCGGGTGGACGGTCCGCGGCCGCCCCGCCGATCAGCGCTGCCGCTGGCCAGGCCGACGGTCCGCGGCCGCCCCGCCGCTTGCCGGGGCCCGGCCTGCAGGGGAGAAAGGTATACCCCCCAAAAGGGGTTCGATCGAAGACGAAGAGGGCGGGTATCGAGGGTTTGGGAAATACGCGTTATTGGACACTCGAGCATATAAGGGCGAACAGTCTTAATATTATTATTGCTGTTGTTTTTGTAAAGCGGGGGCCAACGGCACAGTTTGACCCTCAAGATTTCCCCTGATAAAAAAAACAGTGTGCGAGCCCCGGGAAGGACACTTCAATCGAAAAAAACAATGTGCACCAGACGGGGGGGGGGATCAGCAATAATTATTCTTCAGAAATGAGAATTCAACACGACACCAACGACAACAACAAACATAACAACACTGACACGCACACACATGCACACGCACACATGAACACACACACACACACACACACGCACACACACGCCAATGATCGTCGATTTCCGGGAGGATATGGAACACATGGGAAGTGGAGGGGAAGACGGACATCCGGGAGCCATGTTCGGGATCCTGGGATTCGTGTCTGTTTGTCCGTGCGTCCCTGGGCCCCCTCATTGCTGCCCTCAGCACCCGCTTCTGCTGCAGCCGCGGCTCTTCCAGATGCAGCCGCACGCCGCCGGGACGCATCAGCCAGGCCCGGCCCTTTCGGGCACCGTGGGAGGCGCCACCCGCCTCCTGGGCCCCTGGCCCACTCGGCGGAAGTGGCGCAGGTCACGCACCGGCGGAGCGGGCTCCCTCCCTCCGCGGGGGCGCCCCCGGGGCTGCGTGCTGCGTGCCCCGCTCATGGGGGCTCGCCCCCCCCCCCCCCCACCCACAGGCGCCGCGCGGCCCTGCCCCGCGAGCACGGGCAGGCCCTGCAGGGCTGCGCGGCCGCCAGCGTGGCCGCCGCGCGGAGCTCGCGGAGGGCGGTTCCGAGCTTCCAGTCGCGATGGCTTCGAGCAGACGCCCGAACGCCAAAAGCCCAATCCCGATCCGATCCCTCCTCCCCTGCCTCCCTCCCTCCCTTCGGATGCAACTCCTGGGAGGTTTGAGTCAGCATCGGCGCGGATATATCCGCGGTCGAAGACCAATCCAGCACAATCCTGCTGAATCCGGTTCAGTATGGATGAATCCGGCCTAAAACTTATGCTCCACCCGGCTTCACCCCGCTGAGAGACCCTGATCGGGAAGCGCAGCTCGCCTGGCCTCCCCTTCCCGCGCCCCTACCCCGGCTTGACGGCCTCTCATCGGGCCTCGTCGACCTCCCCAGGAGTGGACTCCTCCCATCCCCTCCGCGGTGCGGCTGGAGCACCCGCTGTCCTTCGTGCGCTGGTCCGCGATCCAGGTGCTGCCGCGGCTCGCCGAGGCGGGCGACCCCGTCCTCGTCGCCGCGGTGTCCGCCCGGCTGAAGAGCTCGGAGGCCCCCGCGCGGTCCCTCGGGGCTTGAGGATCGCAGGGTCCAGATCGGAGCGTCGAGTGCATCGAGGACCTGGATCGGCAACGCGTAGCAGCGACCTTTGGCCAGAGTGACGTCTGGTGCGGGCACACCAGGGTCCCCAGATGGCTGAACGCGAAGCGATACGATAGCAGCGGCTTGCGCGCTCGGGCTTTGCCCCCCCCCAACGCCCGCGCCCCCCGAAAGCCGCGCACCAAAGGTCACGCTTGCTTAGTGCCAGGCCACTCTGGCATGAAGCCGATTGGAGGGCAAGGCGAAATATTGCTCCCAACCATTATGTGGTGTTGGGTCTTTTTGTTGAAGAGACAGCGCTCCGCGTTCCTTCCCTCCTCCTCCTCCTCCTCCTCCTCCTCCTCGTCCTCTTCCTCCTCCTCTCCTCCTCCTCCTCCTCCTCCTCCTCCTCCTCCTCCTTCTCCTCCTCCTCCTCCTCCTCCTCCTCCTCCTCCTTCTCTTCCCTCCTCCCATCCGTGCCTCTGCCCTCGCATGTCTCTGTTTTGGTACACCCCTCGCTCGTTTCGTGGCATCATAGGAGGCTCTACCGAAGGCGCCAGTGGCGGTGCCCACGTGCGTCCCCGCCACCCATTTCGGCACACCCCTTGCTCGTTTCGTGGCCCCATAGGGAGCTCCACTGACGGCCCCAGTGTCGGTGCCCACATGCATCCCCGCCACCCATGTCGGCACAACCCTCGCTCGTTTCGTGGCCCCATAGGGAGCTCCACCGAAGGCCCCAGTGTCGGTGCCCACATGCGTCCCCGCCACCCATTTCGGCACATCCCTCACAAGCTCCGTGGCCCCATAGGGAGCTCCACCGAAGGCCCCAGTGGCGGTGCCCACACGCACCCCCGCCACCCACGTCGGCACACCCCTCACACGTTTCGGGACCCCGCGGGAAGCTCCACCGAAGGCCCCAGTGGCAGTGCCCACATGCGTCCCCGCCACCCATGTGTCCCACAACCCACGTCGGCACACCCCTCGCTCGCTTCGTGGCCCCGTAGGGAGCTCCACTGACGGCCCCAGTGTCGTTGCCCATATGCGTCCCCCCCAGTGGCTGTGCCCACATGCGTCCCCGCCACCCACGTCGGCACACCCCTCGCTCGCTTCGTGGCCCCGTAGGGAGCTCCACTGACGGCCCCAGTGTCGTTGCCCATATGCGTCCCCGCCACCCATGTCGGCACAACCCTCGCTAGTTTCGTGGCCCCATAGGGAGCTCCACCGAAGGCCCCAGTGTCGGTGCCCACATGCGCCCCCGCCACCCATTTCGGCACATCCCTCACAAGCTCCGTGGCCCCATAGGAAGCTCCACCGAAGGCCCCAGTGGCGGTGCCCACACGCACCCCCGCCACCCACGTCGGCACACCCCTCACACGTTTCGGGACCCCGCGGGAAGCTCCACCGAAGGCCCCAGTGGCAGTGCCCACATGCGTCCCCGCCACCACGTCAGCACACCCTTCACACTCTTCGTGGCCCCGTAGGGAGCTCCACCGACGGCCCCAGTGGCGGTGCCCACGTGTCCCCGCCACCAATTTTGGCGCATCTCTCACACGCTTCGTGGCCCCATAGGGAGCTCCACCGACTGCCCCAATGGCGGTGCCCACATGCGTCCCCGCGACCTATTTCTGCACACCCCTCGCACGTTTCGTGGCCCCATAGCAGTGGTCAGTGGCGGTGTTCACATGCGCCCCCGCCATTTGTCGCGGCCCAGCCCTCACACGCTTCGTGGCCCCATATGGAGCTACACCAAAGGCCCCAGTGGCGGTGCCCACATGCCTCCCCGCCACCCACGTCGGCACACCCCTCACACGTTTCGGGACCCCATAGGGAGCTCCACCGAAGGCCCCAGTGGCGGTGCCCACATGCATCCCCGCCACCCATGTCGGCACACCCCTCGCTTGTTTCGTGGCCCCATCGGGAGCTCCACCGACAGCCCAGTGTCGGTGTCCACATGCGCCCCCGCCACCGATTTCGGCACACCTCTCACAGGTTTCGTGGTCCCATAGGGAGCTCCATCGAAGACGCTGTTCACAACTGCGTTACTCACAACTGCATATGGTTGGGTCCTTCGCCAGGCTATTTTAATATGTTGTTACTTCGGCGCGTGACAGTTGTTACCAGGGCCGACACCCCCCTGAACGATGGTACGTTGGGGGTCGATGTGGCTGGACCGCATGCGGTATTAATTGCACCTGACTGGGATTAACCCCAACCAGTTGGTACATTTTGTAACCAGCTCGAAAGGACAAACTGGTACTAATTTCAACCAGCCGAATAACGTCACTGTATGATTCCAAGTGTGAGGCGATGTTCCAAAAACCCATTAACTTGCATAACTGCACATGCATTCCAGAAGCTCACATGTTGCCCACTTTGGGATTTGCACCAGCTTGATCCAGGGAGCTGTCATGCAGGGACCCAAGGGCTCAAGGGTTCGAGGGTTTCAGGGCTTAAGGGTTGAAGGAAGGTCTCAAGAGTTTACGTGCTTCAGGGTGTAATGCTTAAAGGTTGAAGAAATTAAGGGTTTCAGGGCTTACGCTTTTGAGTGTTTCTAAACATTTAAGTGATTAGAGGCTTCAGGACTGAAGGGCTCGAAGGCTCAAGGGTTTAGAAGGGTTGCACGTTTAGTTGTTAAAGGGCTCAAGGCAGGGCGGGTCTCCTCGGTGTCCTGGTGCCTCTGGGTCCTGGGGCCTGTCTTCTCGGCCCACGGGGGCGATCGGACATCGGGGGCGGGGGATTTTGATTTCGATTGGAGCGATGGGGGCATTGCCAGCGGAGGGGCGGCGGGGGGTGCAGTAGTTCGCTCGCGCAAACCATTGCGCGAACGATGCTGGGGGCACGAAATTTGGCTTTGGACCAAGTGCCCGATTGGCATCCACGCGCAACTACGGCGTCTAGTCCCTAAACTGCTGCATCTAGGCAACAGATCTGCCAAATCTATTGCACCTACTTTGGTTCCCCATCTGTGCTACCCCCACAACCTTAGCTTCCATTGAAATCTTCTCAGGAAACCGAGAAGGCTTGAATCCAAATTCTCATGCCAAAGCAAACGTCCCACCCATCTACCCGCAAATTGTTGGCATTGCTCAGCTTGCGAATTGGCGCGGGTTCTCCTCGCATGCAAATTAATCGCTTGGGCGGGCGGGCGAAGGTAGCGACGACGGCATCAGCGACGACAGCGATGATGATGACGACAAGGATGCTGCTGATGATGATGGTGCTGCTGATGATGCTGGTGATGCTGATGATGATGATGATGACGGTGCTGATGATGAAGGTTGTGTCAGTGGCGCTCATGTCGAGAGCGACGACGATGATGATAACGATGATGCTGATGATGATCACGACGACGGCGGTGACGGTGGCGACAACGAGGATGGTGATGATGAATGAGATGGTGGTGCTGGCCGCGGCAAAGATGATTCTGGTGATTGTGACGACGGCGACGCTGATGATGATGATGACGAGGAAACGATGCCAAAAACTTGTATTGTTAACGGGATGCAATCGCTTGCACATGTGTGTATTAACAAGTGTATATTCAACCAATCTTGTAATGGCCTCTGGCCAGTGCCGCCGATCCGGGGGGGCTCCAGATTCGGTGATCTTCGCGGTTCCGTGGCCTCCTCCCTCCCCGATCCTTCGGGTCCTCTTTCTTCTCCTCTGGGGGGGTGCCTGGAGCGGTACCCGGGGGGGATCCGGGGAGGGTTCCGAGGGGAGGGTCCTGGGGGCGGTAGCGGCTAGATCTGCGGGGGGTCCCTGGGGCCCCCCCGAAACATCTTGGGGATGCGCAAGTTCTTGAGAAAACGCCAGATGGGGGACGGCCCCCCGCCCCTCGCCCTTTTCCCCGGGGGGGGTCCGGATGCGTAAATCATAAAGAAAACGCCAGATGCCCCCCCCCCCCCCCTTTCCCCCCTTCCCCGGCAGAGCCACCCTGGCGACCCCCCCAAGCAGAGCTGAAGCTCTTGCTCAGGCTCAGAGCTGAAGCTCTTGTTGAGGCTCCTTGCGGCTCACACGCCGGATCGGCGGATATCTCGACATGCAGAAGACCGTTCGTCTTACAATGACTGCGACATGCGCGCGAGGGGACGTGTGCGCGTGTGCCCCGCATAGCACTGTTTGACGTAGTTGCCGTGTGCGTTCCGGGCTTTTTCGACATGCGCGCACGTGTCGTCAGCATGGCCCCATACTGGCAGACTGTCACATACTCAGTGTGTCTTTATTGTTTGTGAGAGCGCGAGCAGAAGTTGTGAATTCCCAATCGGGGAACTCAGTTTGAGGAGAGCACGGTTCTGAAATTTGGAAACATGTGTTTGGGGGGGTCGATGATTCTGACATGCGCTCGCGGGGGCGCCCGCGTCTGGCCCGCAGCATGTATATCATAACGCGAATGCATCGGCGCACACGCGTAAGATCAAAGCGAGTGCTCTGCATGCCTCTCTTTGACAGGGGGTGAGGGGGATGTCGACAGTGGGCGTGGCTCGCATGGTAATTATTGCAAAGGAATGCTAAAGTGAACAATCATGCATTATACATATTAGAGGCCATGATTTGCTGGGTAGGCGTTCGGCTGGGCCCCGAGTTGTCGAATAGTAGCGTCGAGTAGGCTTGCAAAAAAAAGAACTTATGAGGCGCAGTCAATCCAATCCCTCCAGCAAGCGAGGCGGTCGCTTGGCTCCCGCGTGCGACGATCATTTGAAACCCTTCAGAATCCAGCCAGCGCGCAAGACGCCCACGAAACGCCCACGGACAACGACCAGCCGAAATCCGAGAAGACCAGCCAATCCTTCGGCAAGCAACGTAGGAACGAGCAGGCTTAGGCGAAAGAGTGGGCCACTCTTTCTCGTCCTTCTTCTCTTCCTTCTCTCCATCCTCCTCAAGACCCGGTGGTTGCACAGAGGGATTATTGTGCGTCGATTCCATGGCACGCATGTCGGTATTGGTAACGCGAGCGGATCTTCATGCGATCTCGTAGCAGAGCAGAGTAAGAAGCATTGCTTGGGGGGTAGCGCCGCCTGCAGGCGCATGCACGGCAGGCCGCGGTGGAGTTGTTGCCCACCGTCTCGCATCACGACGACCAGAGCGTCCTGGCGGCCATCGCTCACCTTCTCGCGGATGAGGACGCTGGAGTGCGCCGTGCTGCGGTGCAGGCGGGGCGCTGTCAGAATTGGCCTCGCCTTCCCAGGGGGCCGAGCTCTCTTCCTGATCGAATCGATCGGGTAGCTCTTGTTCCTCTCATTTTCCTAATTGTTTCGGGGCGTCTTCTGATGATCCCGTGCGGAGTCCTAAACAAAGCAACAGCTGGCCCCAGGGAAAGGGGTCCACAGGTCCAAGGGCCCGCGCACAGACAAAGCCTTGGCACTGGTGGTCATGGGGGGTGACCTGCCTCGGTGTCGAAATCGGAACTCCACCCTCGCCGTCCAATGATTCGTCGGGGGTAAGGTTCGGAAGTCGCCGAACACGTTGCGAAAGCCGAACCCTGCCCCACGCCTCCCATCGATTCAGGAGAATCGATGGTTAGTGGGGGTAAGGTTCGGATGCCGCTGCCTGCCGCTGGAGATCGGCGATCTCCGTCTCCCAGATTGTCTCGACTATCTTGGACTGCCGCCGCCAGGGCCGAAGCTGGCTGCGAACGTTGACTGGGACCGGGGCTCGGCGCCACCCGAACAGGAACTTATACTCTATGTGTGCGTCGGCCGCGCAAGGGCGACGCACACGCTCGGCTCCCTGGCGGGCGCTTCCTGGCCGTCCCGCTCGGGAAGCGATCTGCAAGGCACGCTCCGCAGCCGTGTCTGGCTCAAGCTCTCTTCCAGCTCCAGCGCCGTCTTGTTCTCCCAGGCCAGTGGCCCAGAGTTTCCTCCTTGTGAGGAAGGTCCTGAAGGCCTCGCGCGGCGCGTAATAGTAGTATGATCTAGTCCACACGTCAGTCCTGTGAGCTATGGGTCGACGCTCGCGCGGCGATGCTCCAGAGTCAGTCCGACGGCAATCCGACGTAAATCTGACGTAGTCCGATGTGAACCCCACGTAAGTCCGACGTAAATTCGGCGTACATCGGGCCTCAAGTTGCCGCGCGAGGCCTCTATAGGATCCTCCTCACCCTCCTCCGGACTCGGCGCTGTCATGTCACCCCTCACTGCCGTCGATCGCCCCCCTGTGCGTGCGCAGCACGTTCCTTCACCTGCGGGGCCCCTCCCCGGAGAGAGGCACCCCGGCGAGCGCAGGACGCCGCAGTCCTGCCCGCCGCCCCCCCGGTCGGCACACGCGCGCGGCGTGGGTGCCGCGAGGCCCGCGGGCACGGCCGGCGCAGCCGGGAGCGGAGGCTCTCCTTTTGGAGTTCGGGCTGCTCGGGCGCCTTCACGGCGCGGTGGGCGACTCCGAGGAGGAAGAGGTACGCATGCCTCCACCCTTCGGCCGTGTTCCCCCTTTTGGGCCTCCTGGGCCTCCGCCGTCGCCACCGCTGGATTCGCCTTGAAATCCTAGTCAGAACGCACCCCAGGAGAGCTCCGGGGAGTAGCGGTATCGGTACCTCTGGGTGTCCCCAGCTGCGTGGCAGACGAGCTCCAGGGCGCGATGGACCAGATCGGCAAGCAGGGCGTGCCTGCTGCCCTGGCGTGCAGCGTCGCGGCTGCCGTGGAGCTCGGGGCCGCGGCGCTGCCTGCTGGGGTGGCCATCCCCACCGCGGCTGCCACCTTCTGGCCGCAGTGGGCGCCCGCCCAGGCGCCCGTCCCACCGACCCGGCCAGAGGAGCAGTGCTCAGACATGGGGCCAGGTCAGCTCGATCGACCACGCCATAGCGCTGGGACCTTCGACAGGGTCGCGGACGAGATGAAGGACGCAGCCCAGCTCTTTCGCGACCAGGGAATGGCGCGGGCGATGACGAGGGTGGTGGAGAACGGCTTCTGGGTGGAGCCGAGTGGGCGCGCATCTTCGGAGCAGCTGGAGGTGAAGCTGAGGCATGGCGGGCCCGAGCCCAGCAGGGGCTCCAAGCTCCACGGCCAGGGGGGCTGCAGGCCATGCGCCTTCTTCGCGAACGGCGGGCCCAGCCTCTGTGCGAATGGCCGCGAGTGCCAGTTCTGCCACCTCTGTGAGCCTGGCGAGAAGAAGCGCCGCCGGAGGGCGTGGCACAAGAGCCGGGGGGGGTCACCGCTTTCAGTCTGGCCTGGTTGGGCGCCACCTGCGCGGGACAAGAACTCCACGGCAAATTGGGATGCCACGCTCGGCAGTTGCAAAGACGAGCGGTCCAAAGATATCCTGTTCGCTTTCGGTGGCGTCTTGGGTATATGAATATCCAGCACAACTGTAACCATGAAGTAGTGTGAAGAGAATCCGATGCTTCTGTCTGAAGTTATTGACCTCACTGACCCTTGCCAATCCTGTCGGACTAGAACGTGGTCGAATTCAGCAAAATTGCACGGCGTAAGCTCTGAGAAGGCAGTTGCACCACTATCAAAATATGTCACCCGCTGCTCTATAGGTGTGTCGAGGAAAGTATGTGCAATCATGAGGCCCTGTGAAGTGCAGTGATCTATCAGCATATGCTGGTTGCTCAGCGGCCCCGGGCAGGTGCCGCGGTCGCCCCAGGCGAACGGCCCCACGACCTCCAAGTCGCAGAAGTCTGGATTGCCAAATCGTGCATTGAAATCCCCCATCGTAAAGACTGGCCCATGCGCCTTCGTCTGTTCTGTCAACAAAGACAAATCACCAAAAAATGCGTGGCCGACTTCGCAATCAAGGCCCGACTGCGGAGCATACGCACAAATGAACGACACCGATCCTCCAGGAGCCCTGATTCGTAAGCTGGCCAATCGATTGCTGTATTGTATGAAACTCATCACTGCGTGCCGCGCCCACGGCGCCACAACGAAGCCTACCCCAGCATACTCCCGTGCATCTTCGGGGCCGCCTGAAAGTATCACCAGGTAGCCCTCGTACATGAAAAACGGTGCTGCACTGATGTGTGTCTCTTGCAATGCGACTATCGCGAGCTCCCGTTCCCGCATGATGGCCGTGATCTCGTGGAGTTTCGTGCAGTCAGCGTCCAACCGGATTCCTTCCACATTCCAAGTGGCTACCTTAGTTATGTTCACCGGGCGTCGGTCTCTTCGGTCTCTGAAGTGTCTTGGCCTCCCGCCTTGCATCACAAAGTCAGGTGGTCTACGAACATGTAAATGATCATGTTGAGGATCACGAGAAAGATGATGTGGAGGAAGAGGTAAAGGCAGGCTGGCAACGCCGTGGTCTGCTGGAGCATCGGGAACTGGCCGCAAATACCGTGAATGCCAAACATAAGTATGAGGTGAAACCGATGGTGAAACGCCTGGGCCGCGTAAGCGTGATAGAGCTTCGTCTCTCCAGCTCTCACGGCCAACAGCGGGGCCAGTACTCAATATGCCGATGTGCCGTAACCCCTATTCGCGGCGAGCCGCGGATTTGTCCTTGCCTTTTCCTGCTCCTTTCGACCCCTCTTTTGCCCCACGCTGGAGCCTGGCGGTCTGGGTGCCAAGGAATTCTTTCCATTCCGGATCGTCTGCCAAGTACTGCTCCCACTCCGGCCCGTACTCGACCTTGAGCGCCCCGCCCTCCACGTTGACCTGGAAGACCTGGCCCTCGCCGAGATAAAATGATTTGGTGCCGGGGTTTGCCCAAAGCACGCTCTTCGCGAACCCCCAGTTCAGGAGCAGGGATTTTGCCCCGAACACCATCGACCGAGCGACGCGTGCTTCAACAGGTAGATCTTGTGCTGCCCACGCTGGCTTGTCCAACACGAGCTTGGCAGCACGGAACTTCGACACCGCTGTGTCCCGGTCCGCCGCCGATAGAAACTTGGCAAACATTAGGTTGGCAAACTCCCCCTTTGAATAGAATTCGGGCGGGCTGGGATCCCCGGCGTACCACAGCTGGTCCCAGAGCCTTTTCTCCGCCTCTGCTTTATTTCCAAGCGAACTCAAGTTTCAGAATACGGCCGTATGCTGGGACGAGGGGCCGCGGTCGGAAGTGAGAGAGCACAACTTTGCTTCCAACTTGCTCAGACGGTCTGCCATGCTTCCCGCCGGTCCCGATCCTGCAAGGGACGAGGCTCGTGAAGCATTATGCGACTGCTTCGTCTGAGCCTCTAGCCTGTCCAAACGACCCCTGAGCAGAGCGGAATCGTGTTCGACTGCCTTGAACTGCTCGGTGCACTGCTGTTTCAGTGCGTTCACCTCGTGGTTCACGCTCGCGACCTGCTCCAGGAAGGGCTGCAGCTTCTGGTCCATCAGGCCAGCGATCGCTGCCAATGTGACTTCACCTTGTTGTTGGTGTTGCTGCTGTTGTGGAGGCACCTCTGCTTGCACATGTGCTCCTGGCGGCGTCGTAGGAGTTGCAATCACGTGCACCTCCGGTCGGGAGGGGAAAGGTCGAGACCGTCCATCTCGTGAAGTGGGCTGAACAAGCGTTGGCGAACGTCGCGCTCAAGTACTCCTCGCACTGGAGTCCCTGATGCACGCGTACCGGCCATCGCGAGGTATGGGAAAGGAAAAGGAAGGAGTAGCGTGGTGGTAGAATGAAAAGGAGAGATACCTCGATATCGTAGCTGCTTGAGCCAAAATGGCTACGGAAAAATTCAGAGGCAGCGCAGGCAAAATGCTACGGAAAAATGCTCGGTTGGAGGCTGCGCATGGCAAAATTCTGAGCGAGCAGGGCGGCAGGACAAGAAGAGGCAACACTCATGCTCGTTTCCTCCCACTTGTCTCTGCTGAATTCTCTCCACCCGCCAGGGCAGCTCATGGCTTCGCTCCGCCCTGCATGCACACCCTTCGGCGACACCACGCCGATCACGTGCAGCAGCAGGTTGATGTGGCTGGCGCGCGCAGATTCGGTGCTTGCCCTTTTTGCTCGGCGCCGCGAGGCAGACCCACACGCAGGTAATAACTGCAGCTTGGAGCGGGAACGCACGAGCTGGCCCAGCGAGCAAAGGGCGGGGAACAGGAGAAGGTGAAGCGAAAGAGCGTTCCTGGGGGGAGGGGGAGCGATGTTTTTAGCCCGCGCCTCGCGGTGGCAGTCTTGCTGGGCGGGCAGCGGCTGCTGGCCGTGGCTGGCAGGCGGTGCCAACCACGACCTGGGCCCCAAAGTGGGCCAGAGCAAGTTGCACCGTGGCCGGACAAACAATGAAACAACAAAGATATTGTACCGACTATCCGGGCCAAGCGTACGTCTCCCAAAGAGGCACCACCGTTTTAGCATCTCGGCCGCCTCGCTGGCCCGTCTTGGAACGCAACACGTGCCGTGCTCAAAACGTCCGTGTCCACACGCTGCGTGTTGGCTCAGCGCATCGGCCCACGTGGTTGGCGAACGCCTCGTGTCATGCCTGCGTGCCCCGCCTGCGCGTCGAGCTCCGTGCCAGCACTCTGCGTGCTGCGTGTGGCGCACTGGGGCAGCCGAGCTGCGCACGCCCTCGGGCCTCCCAGCGGTGGCGCGCCTCGGACGGACCTCTCCGCCCCTCGACCCGCCCGGGGCCCTACGGGGGCTGCCGCCGCCCGGGCTGGCGACGCCAGCCGCACAGACCGGTCGCTTCGGTTCGGCGCCGCGGGAATTCACGCTGCTCGGGAAGAGAATTATCGGGTTGGGGAGGATGGGAGTCGGGAGAATTGAGGACATCCTTACCCGTAGGCGGCCGAAGGTATCGTTCATTGCATCCGGATGCCATTGCTCGTCCCCTTCATCCTCCCAACCCGATTTCTCCCAACACGATAACTGCTCTCCTCAGTTGCGGCTTCGGGGGGCCTCGCCTCGGTGTCCCTTCTCGTGCCCGGCGCGGGCTTGATGCGGGCTCGACGCGGCTTGGCGTGGATTCGGCGAGGGGTTCGGCACCGATTCGATACGGTTCCGACGAGGCCGACACGGATTCGGCAAGGATTCGACGCGGAAGGGGCCGCGAATGGATAGATAGTCAGAGGAGGAAATGGTACCCTTTACGTCTGCCCTCGGGCCGTTTCCCCCTTTTTGGCCTCTCGGGAGGCCCTCGTCGCCACCGCTGGATTCGCCTCGCAATTCTGGTCAGAACGCACCCCGGGAGAAGTCCAGGGGTAGCTCAGTGTCGGTACCTTTTGCTTCTGGTTCCCCCAGACAAGGTTCCCCGAGGATGCGACATAGAGATGTCGCTGCGTTCGCCTTCTTCCTTCCCGCCGGGTGGGAGGGGGGATCTGGCGGGGCCCTGCTGGGGAGCGAGATCGGCTGGGGAGAGCGACTCTTCGCCGCAGCGACCAGTCCCGCTTCGCTCCGGCGTCGACGCCCGCGCGGCACGGAGGACGGACTGGCTCCGCACCTCGGCGCGGGCGGAAGTAAGGATCGGCCTCCCAGGATGCGAGGCGGGACTTTATTGATCTATCCATAACCGCCGCCTGGGGGGTCGATCTTCGCCGACCTCCACAGGCGGTGGACCTGGATATTTTCAGGCCCCCGGGGGCCAAAATATATCCATATATCCACCGCCCGCCGGGGCACCAGGACGTCGGTTCCCAGGCGGTGGATATGGATAAACTCCCGCCTCGCATAAACTCCCGCCTCGCACAAGAGGTGGCGAGTTTTTTTGTCGCAAGGTTGTCCGGCCCCGCCACCTGGCGTTCAGGAGGGGTAACACACACAGGCACAAACATCATCGTCGATCCCGAGGAGAATGCGAGGAAAGAGATCGGAAGCGGGGGGGAGGACGGAGATCCAGAACACATGTGAGAAAATATGGGGAACCCTGGGATCTGTGTGTGTACTCGATGTGTGTGTGTGTGTGTGTGTGTCTGTGTCTGTGTCTGTGTCTCTGTCTCTGTCTCTGTCTGTCTGTCTGTCTGTCTGTGTGTGTGTGTGTGTGTGTCCGTGGGCCCCCCTCGGCCGTGCCCCCTGCGAGTCGCGTGCGGACGGCCCGGCGGCTCGCTCCGCGGTTGGGTACGATCGGGGGGCGCCCAGGCGCGAGGGCGAGAGGCCCCCAGGCCCCCAGGCGCTTCGGCCCCCCTCTGTGGCAACGACGGGGTTGGGGAGAGAAGCGGGCCGGACGAAAGGGGGGGGGTGGGAAAGGGGGCGGTACGAAATTTGCTGCATGCAGCTGGTTTCGGCCTCGCCGAGCGGCCCATTCCTCGAGACATGGCCGCATCTGGCGCCGGGAGGCGCCGGGAAAATCAGCTACGTGAGCTGATTCTCAAACCCTCCCTTTGCTATCCCCCCCTTTCGCCCGGGCCGAGAGAAGTGGGCACAGGGCTCGAGTCGGGCACGTCCCTCGGCAGGAGGGCTATTACACAGTGGTCGAAAAATAGTCTGGGCAAGATTGTCCTATTTTTGTTGGATTCTGTTGGAACCTTTTTGGCTCCTTTTGTTTGTTCCAAATCCGCCTGTAGGAGGACATGCCCGACCTAAGCCGAGGGGGGCGATGCATCGACCCCCAACCGCCCATTGATCGCCGATAGGGGCCCGATAGCCCTGGCCTGCCCAGGAGCGTGCGGGTCACCATCAGAGGCCTGTCGCCGATCTATCGGCTATGTACCGCCGATTCCGACTCGATGTTCCCCCCCCCCCCTGTGCTTATCCCTCCCTACCTTTGCCTCTCAATTCCCCCCCCACACACACCCCATCTGTGTGGGTCACCGTAGGTCTCGGGGTTGTCTCCGAGTTCCCGTGTCTCTGGACGTCTCCCGAGGCACCCAGAGATTTCCGCGGAGTCCTCCAGAGAGCCCAAAAGGGGGCAGATGTGTTCGAAAATCTCGATCGTCGATGTTCGAGCCTCCCCATCCTTCCCCCTTTTCCCCCCCATCCCCTCTTGCCCCGAGCCAGCTCTGGGATGCCTCTCGAGCCTGGCAATCGACCTCTCACGATCGGGCAGACGAGGAAAGCTGGCTCTTCTGGGAGGCGCGGCGTAGGGATGCGGGCATGCATACGTGACTGCAAAAGCTCACAGCGTGCACAGCTGTGCCAGCGTGTGATGCGGGCGTCACAGCGTGCACAGCTGTGACACCAAGTGCAGCGAGCAGCTTACGATTGCGTGCAAAAGACGAATCGGAAAACAAGTGAGAGGCCATGACGCGGTTGCCCCGCCTGCGGGACGAGCGCCTGCCCAAGCTGCTGTCGGGCATCCTGGATCACCCGGACGAGCGCGTCCAGTGGGCGGCCATCGAGGCCATGATGCAGGCGGCGCCCGAGCCCGACGAGTTCCTTATGACGGCCGTTGCCAGGTCGGCGGCGGCACGAGGAAGGGTGGGTGGGGGGTGGGGGGGGGCGCTCCCCAGACAGACGCTTCAGGCCGAGTCTGGGGGTGCGGGTTGCCAGAGGATCGGCGGCGAGCGAGGGGAGAAGGCCTCCTCCTCCTCCTCCTCCTCCTGAGGAGGAGGAGGTGGAGGAAGGAGGAGGAGGAGCAAGAGGAGGAGGAAGAGGGGAGGAGGACGAGAACGAGGAGGATGATAGAAGGAACACTTAGAAGACGAGGAGGAGGAGGAGAACGAGGAGGAAGAGGGAGGAGGGAAGATGAATGAGGAGGGGGAGGAGGGGGAGGAGGAGGAGGAGGGGGAGGAGGAGGAGGAGGAGGAGGAGGAGGAGGAGGCAGGAGGAGGAGGAGGAGGAGGAGGAGGAGGAGGTGGTGGTGCCCGACCCTTCGCCAGAGTGACCCTGGGTGCGGGCTCACCAGGGTCGCCCCGATCGCGGAGCGCGATGCGACAGTGGTTGCTTGCGCTCCTGGCACTGGCCACTCGTGGGCCCGTGAGATCCGCGGACGACAGGTCGCTCTTGCCTCGGGTCGCTCTTGCGTGTGGCCCAGACCGACAGGTGGCTCCGAGACCGGACCCGGGCGGTGCGCAAGTCGGCGGAGCCCGCGGAGCTCGACGCCCCGACGCGGCCCATGCTGATGTAGGCCTGCCCCGAGCCGCGGCCCGCCGCGCGGAGGCCTCTCGCCGAGCGACGCCGATACCTCACGGTACCTTTCCGATCACTGGCTGCACGCGAGAGTGACCCTTCGCCGGATTGACCTTCAGTGCGGGCACGACGGGGCTCCCAGATGGCTGAATCCGATGCGATGGCAGCGGCGTGTGCGCTCGGGTCCAGCCTCCCCGCGGCCCCCGCAAGTTCCGCACCAAAGGTCACTCTTGCCTACTCCGTGTTTCTGAATAAGCGTGGGGGTTCTACCCCCCCGACGGGGGTCAACCTCGCCGCGTCGTCGCGCCGCGACGGGGGTCGGAGCGCCTTCGGCGCGCGGTGGCTGCCCGCAACAGGGGTCGGTGTGGGGCTGTCGGCGGGGGTGACGCCCCCCCGACGCTCGTTAAGAAATTGTTGACGCTTCGCGTATCCCCACCAGCCCATCCAGAAACGATGCTCAGGGGAGTTGAGGTGATCAGGGAAGTCGGGGAGCATGCAGAATAACAAAGGGCGGGGGAAGCTGTCACAGACCCCGAGAGGGGGAGGATGGAAGAGGAGTCGTCGTCGTCGTCGTCGTCGTCGAGGAGGAGGAGGAGGAGGAGGGGGAAGAGGAGGAGGAGGAGGAGGAGGAGGAGGACGGAGAAGGAGGAAGAATCGGAGGAGGAGGAGGAGGAGGGGAAGGAGCTTCTTGGGGGTCTTTTGAGGGCCTCTTGGAGGGCTTTTTGGGCGCCTTGGGGCATCTTGGGCGCCTCTTGGGACCCTCTTGAGGCGCTCTGGGGAGCCTTCGGGGCGCTTTTGGGGCCATCTTGGAGGGAGTCGATCAAACAAGAGGGGGGGTTTAATTAGCGTCCCCCCTCGGAAGCCCCTAAAATCGCCTCTTGGACCCCTCTTGGAACGCTCTTGGAGTGCTCTTGGGCGCTCTTGGGGCCGTCTTGGGGCTCTTTTGGGGCTCTCTTGGGGCCCTCTTGGGCCATCTTGGAGCCATCTCCAGGCCTC